GTCTGTAAAAGTTGTTCCCTGTCTCTAATGTCTAGATCTCTAATTAAAAGACTAATGTCACAGCAGGATTTGGAAAACCATGTTTTTATCTTCAGTAGACTGGACTACTGCAATGGTGTCTTCACAGTTCTCACTAAAAAATCTATTAGAAAGCTGCAGTTGACTCAGAACGCTGCTGCTCGAGTCCTCACTAACACTAAGAAAGTGGATCACATCACTCCAGTTCTGAAGTCTTTACACTGGCTTCCTGTGTGTCAAATAATAGATTTCAAAATACTGCTGCTGGTTTATAAAGCTTTGAATGGTTTAGGCCCAAAATATATTTCTGACCTACTGCTAAATGATGAACCATCCAGATCTCTCAGGTCTTCAGGGACTGGTCAGCTTTCTGTCCCCAGAGTCAGAACTAAACATGGTAAAGCAGCGTTCAGTTATTATGCTCCAAATATCTGGAACAAACTCCCAGAAACCTGCAGGTCCGCTGCAACTCTGACTACTTTTAAATCCAGACTAAAGACTTTTCTTTTTGCCGCTGCTTTCAATTGAACTATTCACATCTTAAACTGCACTGTAACTTTTATCCATGTATTTTTTCTTTTAATGTTTCTTTTATTATCTTTTCTTTTTAATGACTGATTTTAAATGCGATTTTCTTAATGTCTTTCATTTTTTGTAAAGCACGTTGAATTGCCTTGTGTTGAGGGTGCTATATAAATAAACTTGTCATGATTGCATTTAAAGCTGTAGATTATTTGTATAATCAATGAATCAGACTCAAACAAACTTAAAATAAAATGGTTAATGAATTTTAGAAAAAAAAATTGAAAAGCATGTAATGTCTTTCTAATAGAGGCAAAGCTTATTTCAACAAGATCCTATTGGGTAGTTTAACCAATGCATCGAATGATAAGACATTCATGTTTTGTATGAAATTATTTATCTGCAAACTCCAGATGAATGTAGTGGAGTAAAAAGAACATGCTTCTGATAGGTAGTGAAATAAAAGTATAATGTAGCAAAAAGGTGCAAGTGCATAAGTAAAAATACAAGGACCTTAAACATTTTACCCAATGTTGTATTGTTTGACATAGACTACTGCATGGTGGACACCTCAAATAAGTTAAACAGCGTGACGGTCCAATTATATTGTATCTAAAACGGCAAATAACATCCTAATAATAATAGTTGTCACATTTGAATAAAGTGCATAAATATACCAGCATAGGTGTGTTTGTAATTGTCACTGTGGTTAACATTTGAATTAAACTATATGGAAGACAAATAGATATATGCTTTATTTATCCAAAATTGTGAAATTGTTTTATATAATAATGTTTTCAGTTTGTTAACTAAATCTGACAGGGCAGCCTGTGTGAGTGAAAGAGTAGTCCCACTGCGCGTTCACGCTCCGTCTCCATGGTGACCAAATGCCGCTGTGGTATATTGGACAACAAACCCCAACAAAATAAATAACATATTTCTTTAACCCCGTAACAACGGTTTTTAACTTATTTTCTGTAATCAAGTGTACACGACTTTTACATGAACAGAGGAGGAGGTTAACTGAAACAGGAAGCGTTTAATGACCCGGGGTTTGAGTTAAAGTCTGTCCACCTAAACAGATAACATTAGTAAAAAACAATTTACCGTTAACCTCAGTTCAATCCTCTGTGATGGATGGGACAGTTATCATTTCAGATCCTTGATTCGGTTTCCAAACACAAAATAAAATAATAAAAACACCTGAAATGTGTAGAAATCTGTCAAGTTTCCCCTAGCTTGCAGCAACATAGCCCCAGAAGGAACGTGCACGAGCTTCACTAATGGCAGTCTCGCGTGATTAGGTGACGCGCATTTACCAAAATGTGGAGGTTGGATGCAAACTTCAGCTTCGTGCGGAAAATTGTAAGTAAAATGAGCAAATTTCCTGGAAATGTGTTGGTTTAAGATGTGTTACTATTCTCCCTGTTAAATATGTGCTTCGTGTTTGATGTACCACTGAGTTAAAGGAAACTTTATTTTGAAAATGTGTAGTATTTTGTTGGGGCCTACAAATGTCCCGGATGATATAACAACGTTTTAAGGTTATCAATTTACACTTCAAAGCATTAATATAGCAGCAGACAACTCTTTGCTACATATTATTTACAGTTTTTTTTGCTACCCCAGTTGAATGAAGTCACTCTCCCTGTGCTGTAATCCAAGTTTTTGTTTGTTGATTAAACTATTAGCCAGGACGTGCCATGCCCCCATGTAAATGTATGAGTCCTTGTTTTTAGCTAGCTAGTAGCCCTCATATCAGCCTCTCTTTAATTATGCTCTTATACCTGTGCAATACAAATATTTTGGTTAATAAAAACACCTAAAAGCTCAAACAAGTTGATATGGTGTAAAACCTTATTTTTTACTACCTAATTATGATGAAACAAATCAAGAATTATACTTCATAATGTACCTCCTACACTGATTAACAATACAGTACACATCAGTGAGCTACAGTGAGGCAGACTATATAACTAATGTACGTAGACCACAATGTCTTCACTTTCAGGCTTTGACTGAATATATTTTATTTTAAGTTTGAAGCTTTATAGTAATTTATTTATGTTGAGTTGGTAATTTTGTATGAAAAAGATAGAACAAATAGAAAGAACAGAGAAAAATATAATGCATACTTTGGTATTACTTTATTGTGTTAGCAGCAATATGCTATCATTTTAAAACGTATTCAAGACAAACTTTCCTTTTAGAAGATAAACATATAGTAATAATAATAATAATAATAATAATAATAATAATATTAATAATACACTTTTTGTATAGCACTTTTCAAAACATAGTTACAAAGTGCTTTAACCTAAAAATACACAGAAATCAAGTCAATTACAACAGCATCTACACATTAGAACACATTGTAAAACAAAAATACATAGAATAAGAATAAATGAAAAATAAAACAAGACTACTAATAAAATCACAAAGTGTGTTTTTAAAAGTGACTTAAAAGAGCTGACAGATTTTGCAGCCTTGATCTCCTCAGGTAGAAGGATATATGTGGGGTAAACACTGTAGCAATAATTTCTAAAAGCATTTTAAGAAAAGTAGTATTGCAGCTAAGAAGAAACAAACGGCTCCACTGAATATATATATATATATCATAAAGACAATTGTCATCACTACATGTCACTTGTCATCAGAAACTGAATCATTTTGCTGTTACAATATGAAATCAACCCTAACTACTTGAACATTTTTAATATAGACTTACAAATAGACCAAATATTTAATTGCAATAATATAACAAAAAAAAACTTTTATCATTTTTTTATCACAAATCTGAAAACTAAAATTCTCCAGCAATTGAAAATATCAGTTTGCAGTTTTAGTATAGAAAAATCAGTCATCTGTGTTGATCTCTAAAACATATTTAAAGCAAAAATCAAAGATATAATAAAGTGTGACTTGAATATATATCAAAGACTGTATATTTTGTACATTTTGCTTTCGTAAACCTACACTTTGAGGTTTATTATCCTCATGAGGCAGGCTCCTTATTCTACTACTTTCTGACTACAATTCCCATAAAGCCGGTTGGTGTAGTCCTGTTGTTGTCAGGGTCATACTGTAGTTCTGAGCAGCGATCCTAGCTGTAACCTACTTCCACCTCTCCTCTCAATCATGTGAAAAACACACAAGTCATTCTTTATAATCCTGTAAGCTCGATCTATTGACATATCAGCTCTCTGTGACACAGAACGACGTGTGTAGAAACATTAATGTTAGTAAATAAAAGCAATATATTGTGTTAAATACAAGTAGCCTTAATTTTAGCTGTATAAAAAGTTACATGATTATTAACCAAAGACCGATGTAAAAAAAAGTATACAGAAAAGTAAATAATAAATAACATACATTAGCATTGTAAAACTAATTATAATCTACAACAATATTAGATATATCAAATTATCACTCAGCAAAATCATTTTTGAACTTTTCGTAAAAATATTTTGCGCTGCGTCATTCGGTGTTATCTACCATTTTGTCGTGACAGAATGACGTTTCAAGAAAATGAGTGGACTCAAAATGGCCGCGGACTTACGCTGTGTTCGTCAGCGAGAGTTTCACACTCTAGTTGTGGTCCACTGCAAATTGGTCTTTGATGCAACAGTCCTGCTCCGGCTGCTCCACGAAGGACCGCCCTGACCCACCGTGGTACAGCAGAAAAGTCCTCCAGCTTTGACTTCCTCTGTCCGTTTGTTTCCAACCAAGACATCCCCTTCGCTGTCTTCAAGCTTCACAAACTCAAGCATCAGTGCAGAGAAGAATTTGATCGATATTCATAGAAAAACTCAGGGTTCAGGAGTACAAGATGAAGAAGTTCATTCATTCAACTCACAGTTCGCTCTGGGTCTCTTTAACCCGTCTGCATGGGCCGACTACTTTATACACCAATCAGGTCTGTCTGGATTTGCACATTCGTCCACTCATAAACCTTTTCCCCCTAGCTTTTTCTTTTTTGCACTGTGAAATATACATCTGAACAATCTTGTGAGTCCCCGGTTGGATTTAAATAGCCTTACATGCTTCAGTCTCTTGGATACAGTGAACCTGATTGGCCGAGAGAGCCTGCTGGGCATGACCAATCACAGGGCATCACCATGGAGCTTCCCAGCCAATGGGAGGAGGAAGATGGTCTCTGTGATTTCATTGTCACTAGGGGAGGGGGAAACATACTGCCAGGACAGTTGGCACTAACATGCTTAGTGGTGGACTCTATTATAGTGAGAGTCTATATGTTTGAAGTAACCTGTGGAGCGTTGCCAAGGAGAGAATAGCACAGGGCGGGTCTACAGATGGAGCTCCTCTCACCAGCAGCTGTACAGTCCCACAGCACACAGGCTCATAGAGCACCGCGTCACTGTTGGCGGTGCTGCTCACGTCACAGGAATGAATGGGTTGAGCCATCGTCCTGCTTGAAGGTGGCGTGTCTCCTTGGCAACCAGCTCCATCTCTGGCCAGAAGCTTAGACTGACAGAGCCCTCGAATCACAGGAGGACGGGCGCTCCTTATCTGTCCCTCCATCGCCATTCAGTCCTGGTTTGACCCCTGAAGAGTGATATCTCCTCATCGCTCCATCTGTCCCTCTCTGTTCTTCCTTTCCTTTGACCTGTTTTTGCCTCAGTATTGCTTTTTTATCAGCTTCATCCCTCACAAATCCCTTTCATCTCTGAATACCAGAGATGCAATTCTTTCCTATTTTTATCATCCATTTATCTATGATCATTTTCTGAATTAGGTTATTTATTGTTAATGTCTTTTTAATTTAAGTTTTGTCTGAAATCCAACATCCTGAGATATTCATTTCCTTAAAAAGAGCAGCAGATCCTCTCACATAGGAAGCTGAAACTGAGGAATATTCTCTACAAAAATGTATCAACTCTGTACAACTTGATTGATTATTGATGTTGTATAGTGTGCACGCACGCACACACACGCTTCACGCAATTGTTCAGGTCAAATTGATACTGAGGGACTAAAAATAGTACTTATTATACTTTATAATGATCAATTAGCATGTCCTTCATTTCATACTGCCTTGGCATATATTTCAAGGACTTGCACGATTTATGTATAGTTTCAGACTCTCTCCAAAGTATGTAAACAATGTAAAATATATAATTTAAATAGTGTTTGAGATCTTTAGCATAACAGCTAATCTAGACCTTGGATATTGCACTATGACATAAAATAAGTCCACAAATTCGTTTTTTTAATGATAAAATATAGGATACTAGCATCTTCCAGATCTTTTGGTATAGCTCTTTTTAACATGTACCCTTCTTGTTACTCTTTAGTAAGGTTTTCTATCAGTGAAGAAAGTAAGTGAGTAAAGTTGTAATGAACCAGCAGTCTGGCGTTTGACATGGAAGTGACTAGTTCTGAGGTTTTGCTCTAGTCAGCAGCTCCTTGTCTCTGAAAGACATGGTGGTGCGTGTGCTCTGACACTCAAAAAACTTTTCAGCACTTGTGCAAGATGTTTTTGTGCTTAGTCGGAGAAATCTCAGATAAAATATGTTCTTTAAGGAAAGCTAGAAATAAGGAGAGCTGTCTCATTCAAGAAGGACAGGACAGAACAGTGTGTATTTGACATTTTGTGGAGATAAAAAGATGCTACTCTCTAACTTTTTTTACTTGACAACAAGCAGTTTTTTAATTTAATCAGTGCTGGCTGCCAGTTGTATTAGGGAGGGAAAAGGACATATTGTTACTTAATTTTGTACTGTCTGTACATTGTATCCATGTAATCATGTTCCTTGGCAATATTTGTTGATGTTGTAAATGTCAGGCTGTCCGCATTCATGTCATAAGATTGAAGCATCTTTCCACACAGTCAGAGGCCGAGGTGGGCAGAAAGCCAGAGTCCTAAAAGTGAACTAACACAGTACGCAGACGTCTTATCGCTCATCTCTCTTTGTGTGCATGGAAAATAAAATATCTCACGTGTACGCTCTCATGTTACGCACAGATAAGCTTTTTGAGAGCCTTATCCAGGCATAAACAAAGCTCACACACACTTGAACATATGGCCTACGGTTCACCATGAGACTTTGGGAGATACAAATAAAAATGAACAGTTTTACAACTTGATAGAACTCTCCATTACCTAATACCTGGTACAATATTGAGATTTCTTGTTTGTTTGTATCCAAATCGAAATGTTCACAGGAAAAAATCCTTAGGGGAGTATAAACTGAAATCAACGCAGATCAAAAAGATAGTAAGGATGTTAGAGCTACAGTTAATAGCCAGATAG